AATGGAGAAATTAAGTACAATGCCATGCAGAGAGCTTTGTTTTGAATGATAGACTGCTATGGAACCATGGAGACCAAACCACTTCTTCACCACTTCTTCAAGGCAGAAAGAGGAAAGTAAAGAGAAATTCAGAGGATGAAATTCTGTTAAATTCCTAAAAATGCAGATTGTTTCAATATGGATTTATAGTTATTATATTAAAACTGTGCTGTCTGGATGGATGTTGAGGCTTTGAATGTAGCCAGTTGAAATTGAGACGAGTGGTAAGACAAATATAAATATCAGTTTTCAAAGACAGTATAATAAATGTGAAATAGCTAATCAGTATGTTTAAATTGATTATATGTTGAAATTATAATTTTATGTATTTGGTAATTAAAGCATATCATTATAATGAATTTCACTAATTTTTCTTTTGTGAGCATTCAAAAACATGTATGTTTTTCTTAAAAATGAATGAAATAAGTCCATCACTGACTTCAAGTAAAGCAACCAACAAGTTTGCTTCTTTTTACTTTTTTAAATATGCCTACAAAAACTTTGACATTATTCACACATCTTTCACCATATTTAGATTGGATAGCACAGGTCTAAAATATAGTTCTAAAACTTAGCATGATAAAAATCATCTTCAGGAATTAATAAGGGGCCGGGGAGATGGCTCAGTGGAATAAGCGCTTCCCTGGCAAGCACAAGGGCCTGAGTTCAATCCCCATTTCTCCCAAAACAAAGAAAAAGAAATTAACAAAATACCCCCAGAGATTCTTGTATTGGGTGAGACCTATGATTCTGCATTTCTGTCTTGCTCCTAGGAGACGGTGTTATTTTATAACTACATAAAGAAATTCCCTCCCATACTCTGGATCATATAATTTTACTGAAAGGTCACAAAAATGATTTATACATTAAGCATCTGTAATTGAATATAAAATTTTCTCAGCCATACTCCCTTTTTTCTATAAGAAGTTAAGTTGCCAAACTTATGCAGCTTTCCAACTTGGGCCCAGCAGAATGGCTCCTGCAAAGAAGGGTGGCAAGAAGAAGAAGGGTCGTTCTGCCATTTACAAGGTGGTGACCTGAGAGTACACAATCAACATTCACAAGTGCATCCACGGAATGGGCTTCAAGAAGAGCGTCCCTCGGGCACTTAAGGAGGTCCGGAAGTTTGCCATGAAGGAAATGGGGACTCCAGATGTGCGCATCAATACCAGGCTCAACAAAGCTGTCTGGGCCAAAGGAATAAGGAATGTTCCATATCATATCCGGGTACGGTTGTCCAGGAAACGGAATGAGGATGAAGATTCACCAAACAAGCTGTATACCTTTGTAACCTACGTACCTGTTACCCCATTCAAAAATCTCCAGACAGTGAATGTGGACGAGAACTAACTTGGAGATAAAGTTATAGAACTGCCAAGTAAATAAATAAATAAATAAATAAACATATACAGATTTTTATCAGCTATCTCTTTTCCTGAATTAACAGATATTAAGTAGTACTTTTATCATATGACCTTATCCTAAATGCCCAGGATAGACACAGCCCGGGGAACACACTGAGGTCAAAGTACACTGTCAAACTTAAGAACATTTGGTTTCCAGTGTATATTCCTACAGTGTGGGGACTGTTACTAAGTGATTCCACTTTTATTTTAACCAAATAAAATTAGGAGCCAAAATACTCCAGTAACATGAAAAATAAACAATTCTTAACACATTCTAAACTGTATGTTGCTGTTATAAAAAGATTTCAACTATGATATGTAGCCTGATGTGCCCACTGGCAAGAGTTTTTATACCGCTGAAGGTGAAGGAGATGAAAAGAACGAAGACGAAAGAAGAACGTGTTTGTTTTGGAAAAGGTCAGGTCACAGAAGCATTTGTTGATATTCGGAATAAAATGACCCGTGGAAAAAGGACAATTAAGTTCTAGGAAAACATCTTTTCAGTAAGGAAAGAACAGTCATTTATGCTTAAACTCAATTCTGTTTAGAAAAATGAAAAGGAAGTGTGCAAGGCCCTTTAAAGAATTGAATAAGGAGAATATAAATCTAAATGCCCAGGATAGACACAGCCCGGGGAAAACACTGAGGTCAAAGTACACTGTCAAACTTAAGAACATTTGGTTTCCAGTGTATATACAGCTACTTGTATTTTATTCAAGAGGAATGGTACTGAAATTGCACAGGTAACCTTGAAAGTAACATGGCCCATATGTTCCAAAGTCTGTCCTCCTCCTCCTTCTGAAAGAATGGTCTAATTGTCAAGGGCATTCTCTATTTTTTTAAAGAACTCAGGTTGTGTAACACTATAGGGAGAAAAAAGAATGAGGTAGGAAGCATGACCAAAAAAAAAGAAATGATATGAGGTACAACCTAGGAACGAAGTTATCAGGAGTCAAAAAAATATTTTGGAGCTTAAGAGAATAAAAGGCACATTGTTTTTCAGACATTGTATGCAGGGATCCCAAATCATTATAACATATTAATGAAAGTACTAGATTGTTTGATCTTCATATGATATTTAATTTATATTTTTTTAAATCAGAACTTATTTTTGCTAATTCTGAAGCTTGCTATTATGGTAAGAAATAGAAGTATTTTATCATTGTATTTTTGAAGTGAAATGTGTCTCTATTAAATGTGTTTAAACAGCTAATTTATATATACATGCATTTGGTTTACTTTCCTGAGATGGCTAATTCCTTTGCAGAAATATGTATATGGGCTGGTGTTTTTAAAACGGCCAGAGTGCCCCTGTTTTCTTGTCCTCCCTTGTTCTGTAATCAGTGTTTGCCCTTGCCTCCAACTTCTAACTGCTTTATTCTTTGTTCTTTGAAGTGGCCTTCCCTCTCCAGGCGGACCTCTTCTGCCCTGGAGGTTGGCCCCGCCTGCCCTTTCTCCTCCTCCGTTTGTTCGCCCTGGTTGTTTTCCTCATTGCTTTTCCCACTGCCCCACTGCGTGTGAAACGCTCCACCAGCAGCTGCTCACAGTTCCCAGGTGACGTCATGGCCAGCGCTGAAAGAGCTGCTGTTCTCACATTTCCACCAGCAAGACGCCCCCTCTCCTCCTTCCCTGCACATTCCTCCAGCAAGTAGAAAGAACCCCTTTTCAGGCCATCTGCAATCTGCATGTTAAAGCCAGCGCTGTTGGGAAGATGGATACAGCTTACAAAATCTAGAAGTGCTATTTTTAAAGATAAATACCACCAAGTGAATTTCAAATTGCTTGTAGTTTATCCTAATGCTCCTTTATTTTTATACATTCTGCAGTTTCCTTAAAATAATTGTCACTGAGATCCACATTTTTCCATTGCTTAATATATTAAGTAATCTAATAAGGTAGATATATGGATAGAAATATAATTAATTAGTAAACGCTCGTTATATTAGAATCACAGCCTTTATACACACTCATACCTTATTTGGCCAGTGCATTTGCTCAATATCAATTTGAGAAGAATTTACTGAGTTTACATTATTGAAATTGATCATGAGCATTTATCTAGTATTTACTGTGTACCCTTCACTATTCTGAGCCATTTTACATCTGCTAATGCTTTTAAGCCTCCCAGTAACACTGTGAGGATCATATTTTTATCCTCATTTTGCAGATGAGAAAAATGAGGAACTAAAGGGTTGAATGACTTGTTTGAGGTTGGATAGCTGATAAGTGAGAAAGCCAGGATTTGACCCCAGGCAGTCTGACTGGGGAATCTGTCAGAACTTCTAACCATATAATATCACCCCTCTGATATAAAGTTGGATTGACATGATGACATTTCCTCTTAATTTACAACCTAGCCCTTTCATTGAAAAGAATAGCTTTGCCCTCACATTTATTGATGTCAGAAATCACATAGATCAAGAGTTGTAGAAATGAATATTTAAAGTAGGCTCTCAGACCTAGCCTATTTAACTAGAAGCCTGAATCATTCACAAATTAAAAATACCAGAACCTCTATCTGTAGCACCAACAGGGTTTAATCATCAAACTCTTCCCAAAGTGAACAGAAATACTCTTGCATTCAGTTATCCATTCAATAAATATTCTTCCTGATATCTACCAAAGTCTACATAAAGGGAGACAGTGATGGAAAAACCCTCTCAGCCCTCATGGAAATTCTAGTCTCAGGAAGACCAACATTAACCTTTTAAATCCCTAACTTAATAATTCCAAATTTCAGAAAATGCTATGAAAGAAAATGTAGGACACTACTACTAAGCAAAAAGTCAAATGTAGCATGGAGTTGGAGTCAGAGTAGAAGTTGACAGAGGACAATCAGAAAGTAGCCTTAGAGCCACTGTTTACCAGTAAAGACAAGTTAGCTGAGAGATTTATGCATGCATTTGTCACTTTTACTTTAAATGATCTGAACCTTCAGACTAACAAGCTGAACACCTGTTATGGTTTATATAAAGTGTCCCCTAAAATTTTATGTGTTCAGAGATAGGGTTTTTGAAGAGTGAGTAGATCATGGGGTACTAACTGATCAATGGATTAGTCCATTGATGACATACCGGAATCTGGCATTAAGAGGTAGGACCTGGTTTGAGGAAATAGGTAACTGGGGGGCATAATCTGGAAAGGTACATGCTCATCTCTAGCCTCTTTCTCAGTTCCATGAGAACAGAGAACCTTAATACCACATGTACTGGCATGTAGTAGTATCCTTTCTTCTGAAAAATGAAACACATTATTGATTATTGAAGACTACACCAAAATGAACCAGAGTTTAAAAAACATAAAAGACTACATCATTGGGCCGGCCAGATAGCTCAGCAGACTAAGGCACCTACTTAGGCAGACACAGGTACCAGAGTTCATCCCCAGTGTGCTGTGCTGGCCCTGTCCCCAGGGCCTGCTAAAATAGCAATTAAGATTAGGCATGGTGGCATATATCTGTAATCCCAGCACTTGGGAGGCTGAAAACAGAAGGATCACTACGAGGTTGATCTGTGTAGTGAGACTTTGTAGACTCTGTACTAAATACATAAAAAAGACCACATCATTAGTCATATCAGGTTTGACAACCACAAAAAAACCAATGATGACAAATGGTGAATTTCTATTGCACTGCCCTTTGAAAACACCCAGAGTAATAAACTCTAGCAGTGTCTTTTACATAGTGGGAATTCAATAAATATCTCATGGCTGGATGAATGCATGGAACTAAGTAAAAAATGTATGTTATTGAACATACAAATAAGCAGAAAGTTATACCACAGAGGGAAAATTAAAAACCAAGACTGAAATTTTTAAAATAAATAGTTGTCATATCTAGATCTGTGGATTCATAAGGTTAACCAACACTTAAATAATTCTCTAAACAGCCTGTGAAAATAAAATTAATCAAAACTTCAATATGTTTTATTCTGTGAACATGGTTCACCTGTATCCTATATCTTTTTTTTTTTTTTTGGTGGAACCAGGTATTAAACTCAGGCCCTTGTGCTTGCCAGGGAAGCGCTTACTCTACTGAGCTATCTCCCCAGCCCCTGTATCCTCTATTCTAATGCCTAATCCTATAGACATTCCAACTTTCTTGTAACTATTGTTGGGTTATAATTTTTCTATCCTTTTATATCTAATTTATTGTGTCTTTACATTTAATGCACATTTCTTTTTTATGAGAAGGGAAAAAATAGAACAAAAAATTCCAAAACAATATGATAGAGGTAACAGTGATTAATACATTGCATATTGTTACCTTTTTTTGTGGTGGAACCAGGGATTGAACTCAGGCCCTTGCACTTGCCAGGGAAGCGCTTATTCCATTGAGCCATCTCCCCGGCTCAATCTTCCCATATTGTTACCTTTAAATTAATTACTCAGAGTATAAGATAACAACATATAATTGTCAAACAATATTAGCATAAACTTCCTTTCAATGAACTAAGAGAAACTAGTAGTATGCATGTTTCTGGAAGGCAGTATATAATTTAAAAATCCAATATTGATATCAGGGAATGAAACTCCCAACCTGAATGATACCTGGGCCGACTTCATGTTCTCTAAAATCAAAGAATGAATTTTAGGAACAGAGGTTAAGAGCAGAATATATTTATTGGGGAAAGAAAGCTCCTGTCTGAGAGAACAGAAGGAGGACTTGAGTGGGTTGCCCTGGAAGCTGTGTCTTGCAGGGACTTTTATAGAGTGAAACCATGTGGTGAAGCAGGCCTAAGGTAGAGAACATGGGAACTCACTTAGGTGCCCAAGAGCTGGGACAAAACTATCAACCAATGAGATTACAAGCACCATTGCTCAGGTAAAATTGATTAAATCCAGGACAGAATGGGGAAGCAAGTCAAGTAGCAAGAGGACATGAACACAGAACAGGGGCTTTCCTGTAAGGGGCTGGGTTAGTGACTCCCACAGGTCCTTAATGTGAGACTCATTTAGAATACCAATCCTGGATGCTTATCTTTAGGGAGGTATGTGGCTGCATTTGCTTGATCTTTTGCCTTGAGTTCTGGCCCACAGCATGGGTCTGTCTCTCCCAAAGTGGCAAAGTCATCTTGTCTTTACACTGCCTCCTTGAGGGCCCAGCCCTGTCTGACTACCTATCATATTTCTGTCTAACTTAGCTTCCTGCAACAATATGATCTATTCTAATTGGAAATATTTAAATCATTTGTATTTATTGTGTTTATTGATATGGTTTGATATAAACCTACTATCAAGAAATATTTCTCTTTGTCCTATCTGGTTGTTTGCTTGTGCTTTTTTTTGTCTTCTTTAACTTATTCTTGGGGGTGGGGAGATGGTTCAGTGGAATAAGCGCTTCTCTGGCAAGCACAAGGGCCTGAGTTCAATCCCCAGTTCCACAAAAATAAATAACTTAATCTATTTTCTACAGATGAGTTTTACAACTATGTTGATATATGTAGCAATATCTTTGTATTATTTTTTAGTGTTTTCTTTAAAGTTTTCATTTCTCCCTTTCTAAACTTAGAAGTCTCGCTTTCAGGACTAGGTGGGATTAGGCCAGTGCTCACTGTACATCACAATATTTCCCACAAGGGAGGCAAGATTCCACTGTGTACCTTTCCCAGGGCCCTAAGTTTCATGAGGTTTCCACTGTGACCAGTGGGGATTCGATACTCTTTTCTATCCCTAATGGCTGCATTTAATTCTGATCTTTTCCTGTGCTTCTTTCCTAGCTCTCTCACCCATCTGTTGATCAGCCTTAAGGCAAACACCTGAGGGGGAGCGGAAGCTCCTCAGTTCTCAGTGGACTCTCTCTGTGCAGTTTACTGCTCTTCTGTCCTGTCAGCTAAGGTTGCCTTGGCCTTTCCACTCTTGTTTCCAGCTGCCCACCTCATAGAGACTGCCAGAAGCCTGCAGGCTTTTTCTTCCCTGTGCTCTGGCCTGGAAATTCTCACGTGACAGGAAGCTAGAACCATTCTAGGCTCACCTCATGTTTCCTGTTTCGCAGGATATGTTTTCTTTGTGTAGTTCATGTACATTGCCTCACACTTGATTATTACATAGATTTATCTTTGTTTTAATTATCTTAGGACAGTGAGTAAATTGGCCCTTATTACTGCATTTTGCTTGGAAACCAAGGTCCCACAATAGCATTTGAGGCACTATTTTTTCTTTGTCTAGAGTTGTTAGCCAAAGAACGTTGGAAGAAAACAGGTAATTAGCTGATAATATATAATCCCCCAGACATAAACAATCTGTTACTCACTTACCAACATCGGACATAATGTGCTTTACTTTCACAGTAGCAGTGACTGCCTTGTGCTGATTCCATCCTACATTTTGCCTCGCTGCATTTAGGGCCTTGTCTTTACAATCAAGTTGGATAAAACTCAGGCCTTAGTGTGTACTTAAAAAACTGGTCAGGGCCTAAAGCCAAAGGTCTGGAGCCACTTGCCTCAAGTGGAAGTTAGCCAATAGTTCAGGAGCTAAGTCCACTTTTAAAACAACCTAATCCATCAATGTGCTTCATTAATTTAAAAATCAACTACATGCAGATGGAAAGGGACTAGGGAATGTGGGAACTGGGGAGAGAGAAAGAAGGGAAAGTGATAGGTGTGTGTACTAATTCTCTGCAACAAGTATATTTATTATTACCACAAATATATAATAATAAAAAGTAGAAAAATATCCACTTTGGATTATTATATTTCTTTATATTCTTAGCTTTACACTTCAGTAATCATTCCTTCAAAGGTTCTGTTTATTTCATTGCAATGCAATATCATTTAATGACCAATGTATTACCATACTTAAGTTTCATCTTTGGAAAGAGGGCCTGTTACCACCTATCAATTCAGAAAATTTTTAGTACTAAAGGTCCAGAAATCCAACACTTGACTTTCTGAAAGTACTACATGTTATGTCATAGTTCACACAGCTCATTAATAGTGGAACCAGAACTAAATACATGCTCTCTATTCTTCTTACATACATTTTAGTTTTATTCTTAAAAAGCACATTCATCATTCTAAATGTTCTATAACCTAAGACATTTTAAATAGAATTACTTATCCAAATCTCACTGATCTTGTAATCTCCGGGTGAAACAATGAGAACAGGTCTGGGAAAGTGTCTCTGAAACTGTTAAATG